TCCTTTTGGAATACTGTATTCCAAGTTTTCTTCTTACTTATATTTATAAGCTACCAGATCTTCTATGATCCTGATAGTGGTTCCTTAGCTTAGCACCTGAGCTGCTTATTTCTAGATGCTTACTATTTTTTTCTCTTTTTTCTTGATGCGAGAGCTCTGGATGTGGATAATGAAATTCTGGGACTTTTCCTTTTTTTTTTTTTTAAGGCAACTGGGGTTAAGTGACTTGCCCAGGGTCACACAGCTAGTAAGTGTCAAGTGTTTAGTCTGAGGTCATATTTGAACTCAGGTCCTCCTTACTTCAGGGCTGGTGCTTTATCCACTGCGCCACCTAGCTGCCCCTATGGGCCTTTTCCTTTTGAAGTTCCTTTCAAGAATTAGTCAGTGGATTCTTTCTAAATTCACTTTGCCCTCTGGGATTTAATAGGTCTGGGCAATTTTAATAGGCATGTATCATTTCAAGATTTCTTAAAATATAGTCTTTAGTTTTATTTTATCAGGGTTTTCAGCTACTTGAATGGTTTCTTAAGTTATCTCTCCTTGATCTGTTTTCCAGTTTAACTGTTTTTAAGATCATATATCTTACCTTTTCTTCTATTTTAAAAAATCTTTTGGGGCAGTTAGGAGGATCAGTGGATAGAGCACCGGCCCTGCAGTCAGGAAGATGTGAGTTTAAATCTGGCCTCAAACACTTGATACTTGCTAGCTGTGTGAACGTGGGCAAGTCATATAACCCCAATTGCCACCCCCAAATTTTTTTTTATTTTGTTCTAGTATTTCTTGTCTCATGAAGTCATTGAATACTTGATTAATTAAGGTTTACCACTTTTTCTTCTAAGCTAGTCTCCTAATTTTTCTCCAGTTCTCATTTCATATTTTAATATCATTTCTTCTGAATATTCACATAGTCCTTGTGGAAAATACATGTTTTTTCCCTCTGAGTCACTGCTTGCAATTGACATGGAGTTACTTACTGCTTCTGCTTTTAAAAGGCGATCTCTAGATCTACAATATTTTTTGATACAGGTCACTGTTTTCTCTTCTACTAATCTCACTAGCTTTAGGTTTCTGAATCAGGGCTCTGTGCAAAGGTTTAGGCTCTGCCTGCCCCCTGCTATGCTTCAGGGTGAGGCGTTAAGCCTGCTACTTTGGTTCCTGCCTCTCTTTGGGGTCTAAGGGTCCTCACCCGAAGGTCTGATAAGTTCCTTGGGTTTGTCAAGAGAAGGGGAGCCTCTGCCCTTGTTACATCTGGGAAAAGAAACTTGCAGGCTACAGATAGATCTGACCTGTCTCTGATCCTGTTAGAAGGCTGCTAGTTTGTTTGCCTGTGCTAGCACTGACTTTGCTGACGGTTCCCTTTCCTATTGCACCTGGGCTCCTGGCTAACTTCTGGTGCACTTCTGGCATGGAAATTGTCACTTACTATAATTTCCCATTGGAATTCTTGATTCTTTGGTCTGGTGGTGATTTCAGGTTCTTGCTGAAGTAGGTATATGAGAGCAGAGCAAATTGCTTCCTATTTAGGTAGCCATTCTGGCTGGAAGTCCAAATTCATACTTTTCAATCCTTTTTGAAAATTATTCACCCATATCTAGTTTTCTAGTACCTATGCCATTCTACATGATTTCCTATTTTGTTTTTGTTTTGTTTTGCACAACATAGTACATATACCCCTAAAATTACATGTGTTTACAGGTCCATGATCAAGAAATTACAGCAGTTGTATCAAGATATTCCTGCTCTATTTGACAGCTTCTTAAAAAACAATTGATAGGCACACCAATATAATGTTGATGTTATAAGTTGGTCCAACCAATTTATAAAACAACCTGGAATTATAAGAAGAATTGTTCAACTATGAACAATAGTTGCCTTTGACCTGGCAAACCCCCTATTAAGATATACCCAAGGAAGTAAAAAACAGAAAGGTTTTCTGTATATCAAAATATCCATAGCTGAATTTTTGGTACCCATGAGGGAATGGTTGAAGAAACTATGGGATATAAATGTTACAATATTACTTTGTTGTAGGAAATAACAAATGTGAGGAATTCAGAGAAGGATGGAAATGCCTATGAAGTAATATAAAAGGAAGTAAACAGAACCAAGAGAACAATGTCTAGGATAATATAATATAAATGAAAATAACGCTGAAAGACAGTCAAACTCTGAATAACTGCAATGCCCAATCTTCGTTCAAGACAGCAGATCATCTGATCATAGATACAGAACGGGAAGAAACCTCAGAAGTCATTTAGTTCAACCTCGTCTTTTTACAGATGAGAAAATGAGGCCCAGGAAGATTAACTGACTTACTCACAGTCAAACAGGAATTCAAAGTCAAGATTGGAATCCAGGTCCTCTAACTTCAGAGTTGGTATTGACTGTCAAACACAACTACTGTGATGACTGGTTTTGTTTACCTGGTTTTCTTTGTAATAATGGAGCATTCATTGGCAAGAAGTATAAATCAGGGAAGTGAATCGGGTATTATCAAAGCAAAAGGCATAAATACAAAAAAAAAGCGCAAAACCTGGTGAACTTTTAAGAAATTAACACTCCCAGTTTAGTTGTACTCTGCTGACCACTAAGCAAATCTGCATGCATTGAGAAATTTGCTGAGATGGTAAGGCTTAGGCCATGATGATACTTACTTTATATCAGAGAGAGTTGATAGTCCATTGTTTGGTTTCTCCCACTTCACTAATGGAATTTCCAGGGCTACAGAATGTATTCATTCTTGTTCAATACATTTTATTAATCTAAACATAATGGCATAAAGAATCTGAAGTAGGTGTGTTACGTGAGAATGCCAGGCCTCTGGGAATATTAACATACAGACATATATAGACATACAGACACATTATTTCTCAGGCAAAAAACCAGCCATGGTTCTAAATAAGGTTCTGCCACTAACTGTGTATGATACCCTGGAGAAGCCACTTTCCACCAGTTTTCTTTTCAAGATGACCTTGAAACTTCCTTTCCATTTTGAGAATTGGACATGCAAAATATTATGGGCCATTCACTAATTCAACCCAGTTCTCTGAAGAAAAACAAAATATATCCAGACACATGCACACACCTAGGAGATCGTATATCCTAACAGAAAGCTTACAGTCAACACCAAGCTGAAAACTGACCAAATTCTACTTACTTAGAGAAAAGTTTCATACTGTGCAAGTCAAACCAAAAAGCTTGAGTATCTGAGCTTCTGGCATAGTTTTGGACCATGTTTACATATTATCAGGCTTCTTAAACCATTCCCCTGGCATCATCAGTAAGACACATTTAACAAAATAGCAAGGTAGTGTCCCTAGCAATAAATACTAGAATGCACCCAGTCTGCCAGAAGTAATTCTCTAACATAATTCCATTGAGTTGGATGTTCATGATGAATGCCATCAGAATACCCAAGGAGCTATGGTGGGATTGGATGAAGAGGGTAACCATAAGTTGAATACACTGACATTCTTTTGAAATTCTGTCTAGGGCATGCTTAAATGTGACATGTGACAACCTAATTAGGGAAGAAAGGACAATGAAAACAGATGATAAACGGAAAGCACAACTACTCAAATACTTATTTTGCTTTTGTTTTCTCAATATCAAGGAGAATGTCGTAGTGAGGAGGTATCCCTGCTAGAGAGGGGAAGCTAGTTCTGATGGGTCTTACTATGGTTACAGCCTAGTCTGTGCTACAGAGTGAGCAGGCTGTCTGACGACTACCTGGCTGAGTAGGGAGAGAGTCATCACCTCCTAGAGGCTGACTGTACAAGAATCTGACTCAGCAGACCAAAATAGAGTCTCTTAAAAGGCCTCATCCAAAGAGATATTCTCTTAAGACAGTACAAGATTCCTTGAAAGATGCAGCCATAAAAAACAATCTCCTGATTATCATCTTGATGTTAATACGGAAACACAAAACTGCTCTTTAAAACAACAAAAACAATAAAATTAATGCTAATTCCAGGGATGCTCTAGGGTGGTGAATCATGGAATCTCATTATCTCCAAATAATCAAAAGTGTGGATTACTCAAAGGACAATGAAAGATATATGGTAGGTGTAAACAGGGTACAACCTGTTACTAATGAAAATTTGTATGCAAGAAGAATAGTAAAAGTCATTGTCAAAAAGATGGTATGAGTAGAAAGAAGGCTGGCTGATCTTATAAGCTAGAGTTAAAGATAACACGTAGATACCCCACATCTTATACCGCATGTTGGTCTAAGAATCCTGCCAGGGGCTGTGATACTAAATGAAAAATGCTCTTCGTGGAGATAAGCTGGCCTAGCCATTTTTGAAAACATTTTGGTACTTTACACTCTTTGTCCAACCACAATTCTACTAGCCTTATTTATACCACAAAGACATCAAAGAAAGAGAAAGGAAATATATGTACAAAAAATACTTAATAGCAGCACTTTTATTTTTAGCAAATTGAGGAATGGCTAAGCAAATTCTAGTATGTGAATGCATGCAAAGTATACAATCTAACTAAACATGCTGGAAAATGTAGAGCTCTAATTTTTAATGTGCAATTATCTTTGTACCAAGCTGTCCCATTTATATACAAAAAAAGCCTTCAAATAAACACCTATCTTCAGAGGTGGGAAGAACATTTTCCTCAGCATTAAAATTGTTTCTTAGCTGTCCAAAAAGTTTATGGGGGACAGCTACGTGGTGCATTGGATAGAGCTCTGGCCTTGGAGTCAAGACGATTTGAGTTCAAAACCAGCCTCAGACACATAACACTCACTAGCTGTGTGACCCTAGGTGAGTCACTTAACCCCACTGACTCATCAAAAGAAAAAAAAGTTTGTGGGGAAATGATAGAAATTTTGCAAGCTAAGTAAAAGTAAATAGCCCACTCAGCATTTTCAAATTTTAAGCTGAGCACAATTTTCACCTCTACTTAACATCTTCAAACTGGCAAGACAAACAGCAAAAAACAAACAAACAAAAAAATCAACCAGATACAAAGTTTAATGAACATACCTGGAGCTGGTCTATGTTTCCAAATGGACTCTTTTGCTTTCTCCTCCTAAATGCATCAAACTCCTCAGATTTCATTTTTGACATCTGTTCTTGTTGCTCTGTCCTTAACTGAAGCTCCTATATAAAAAGAGGATGTGAAAATACCTTTGATAACTTTATTTGATTAGCAGCTTGTCATTATTAAACAACTACAAGGCAAATTTTCTAAGTATTTTCTAGCTTTTGGTAGGCTGAGTTGATTACTTAAACAGACGGAAAACTGAAACTACACAGCAGGACTCAGCAGCAGGGTGGATAGCAATGAAAAGTACCCTCATTAGTGCCCCTCCATATTTTTCCTTGCACCCAGAGTCACTTTCCCTTGGTTTTTAAGAACTACTATACTAGAGGCAGCTAGGTGGTGCAGTAGATAGAGCACCGGCCCTGAAGTCAGGAGAACCTGAGTTCAAATCCAGCCTCAGACCAAACACTTGACACTTACTAGCTGTGTGACCCTGGGCAAGTCACTTAACCCCAATTGCCAAAGAAAAAGAACTGATGTACTAGAGGCTTTTACTTCCTACCTCTGTCAGCTCCCAACTCAGGCAATTTCTGGATGCTCCAAGAAAGGCACCCAGCCTAAAGAAATGGTCCTAAAATGAAGGTGGAATAAGGAGGAAGGTGCTGCTGACCCTGCTCTTCCGAGCCCTGACAATGCTACAGCGGCCTAGGCCCGGCCAGCCCTCAGCTGCCCCTCAGGCCCTGGCACCACTGCATTGGCTGATTCTAACTCCCGCTCTTCTTTCATTTTTTTCCCTCCTTCCTTCCTCTCCCCCTCCTCTACTTTGTCCTTTGTCCTCTCTTTATTGTCATTTTCAGCCTGCTTAATTAGATCTTGTTTCTCTCGTAACTATTGTCTGCCCTCTATCCTTTTTTCATTGGCCAAAATGCCCCCATAACAAAAAACAGCCAAAGAAATATTATAGATGAAAATAAAGTAAACCAAGCAAATATTACTACAGCAGATTTAAAAAAAGCAAAAGAACATTTTTAATTGCTTGTAGAAACATTGTATCTTATCCAGATTTATAGGCAAAATCTGGAAATGTGATATCCCCATTCCTATAGTTCTGAAAATACAACATGACCTGTTATCTGTGTAATTTATGGTTTACTTAATCTCTCTGGGTTTAGGTTTCTCAACTGGTAAAACTAGACAACTCACTATTATCTTGGGGTTGCTGTGAGAATCAAATAAGATGATTTACGTAAAGCAATCTATCATCATAAAGTACTGTATCAATATTACTATTGTCCATGGCCAACATTAGTGGGGCCATTTAGACCCAATCCAGCCACAAATTCCACATTATTGGGATCTATATAACTTTCATATTACTAAACGTATTTACAAAGAGAATACCAAACATGAAATGGATTAGCCTAAGAGTTTGTAAACAGTGAAAGCAAGCACTGGTGTCTGACCATCAATACTATCCTTGAGATCCAATCTATTGGGCCACATTATATGTAAAACTGATTTATTAAATAAATCTGTCTTGAATAGGGACCAATACAGACTTCACCTTTATAATGAATTCTACTGCATATATAAAATGGGTCTGCAACCTTTTCCTAAAGTTGCTATTTTTTATTCTTCCAAAGCTTCATGATCACTGCCAGTAAAGACACAGGGAAGAGTAGGAAAGGGGTGATTGCCATGACTGGCTGCACTCTCCTCCATGATGGGAATCCCTACAAGCATTTCAGAACAGGCCTGGCTATATGACAGTTGTTTAAAAAATGGTTGCATTGAAAAGGGGAAAATGGAGAATCTTTCTGACTTTTTAGGTAATGGTGTCTCGGTCCCCTGTTTTCCCTTTCCTCCCCTATACCTTTTCCCTCAGGGTTTATGTACTATCTCTGCACCTAAGCTAGTATATCATGGGTCTGGGTCATGAATCCCAGTTGGATTCATAACGGTTACCAAATTAGCCTCCATTCAAAAGGAATTAAGTAGGCAGTTACTGTAGTAGTGATTAAGGGCACCAGAAGATTCTACTCACCAAGAAGTTTACTGATTGACTGAGGGAAAGTGGGCCTTGGGGGAGTCAGGAAGACCTGAGTTCAAATCCGGCCTCAGACACATAACACTCACTAGCTGTGTGACTCTGGGCAAGACACTTAACCCCAATTGCTTCACCAAAAAAAGGGAAAGTGGGCCTTAGGATGGCAACCCAGATGAATGAATTGAAGTGTGTGTGTGTGTGTGTGTTGGAGAAGCAGAGAAACACCATTTTATTTTTGGTTCAAAAAGAAACAAGAGCTCTGGGGCCCGAAATGAATCAAAATGGGCCAAATGTTAGCTAGTAAAACTAGATAAGAAACTTTGAGAGTCTGTGCCCTAGAATCCTTTTATATGCATATTTGATTTCTTGAGCCTTATCTTTAATATGCCTATAAAATCATTTTCCCTTATTAATAAGCACCCTAGGAAAAATATGCTTGTGACCTGCTGTGTGCAAGGGCAAAAAAAAGGAAAGCAAGATGAGGTGCCAGAATTAGGACATCCCGACACAGCGGCAACAAGTGTCTTGGGGGAGGATTCAGAACCATAGTCATACCTTTAGTTGCTTCAGCTGTTCAGAGCCAGAGATTAGCCATGTGTGTTTAGAGTACAGTATAGTTAAGAAGGAAGACCTAAGTAAAATAAAGAGGTTCAGTTCAGAGAATAAAATGATTTCTGGAAGCTGAATAATCCATAGAGCCCACAGGCCTTCCCTGTAAGTCTATAGTTACAAAAGCTGGCTTTCTGGTTATACTCAGAGATGTCTTCTACATTCATATCTCCATAAGCGGTTGATGCCACAGCAAGGATGATCCTAAAATGTCATATATAAAATTTATAATGTTAGATGTAAAAATAGAAGTCAGAAGTGTCTAGGATAGATTCCTAATCTTAGAGAACAGGTAAAGCAAATATGACTCTACACAAACATTCTCAGGTAGTATTCTCAAGGGGAGAGAACACAAGTACAACCTGCATACAGTCATTTATAGGGTCTGTGAAAATACAGACAAAATAGTATTACAAAGGGAAATTAGTTCTTATGTGAGCTTATTTTTTTATTTTATTTAAAATTTTCAAAACAAGTAAATTCCTCACATAAGCTCAGAAGACCTGAATTCCATTGCTAGCTCTAGTACCAACCTACTTCATAAACTTAAGAAAATGACTTGATCATCTTTCTCCTTATTCTTGTGAATCATTTGTTTAGAAAAAGAAAAATGTCTCTAGTTTTGAAGAAAGATGATGGGCAGAAGGGCAATGGAAACCGAGAGCATGAACAACATTTTTTTTTCCAGCAAATAATATGACTTGGGAACAAGAACCAAGACATGTACAATTTCCTCCTAAAGTTAAAAAGAACAGCGACTTCATTAGTTGTTAGTGTTCCCTCACCAATGAAAATGGCAACTTCTCCTCACCTTAGAAGAAGGTTTTATGAGCTACTGGGGGCTACTGAAGAACTGCAGCTCATCAGTGATACCTGAGAAAGCTCCCTATCAGGTTTGGTAAAAGAATGCACGAAGCCGCAGCATGTTCTCTAGCACAGATGAATGGAGCTTTCTTACTTTGATTTTTTGTTGGTCCCTCTTAATCTCTGCATCCAGTTGCTTCTTTTTTTCATTTTCTTCCCAAAGTCTCTTTTGCAGCTGTGCTTGCTGATATTTCATGTGATCTACATTCTGCTCAAGGTCAGAGGCACGTTTCTCAGTTTTGGCAGACAGCGATGCCAGTTTCTTAGTATCCTGTTGCTTTTTCTGCAAGAGCTGTGATCACATAACACATTGAAAAATATGGATAATGGAAAAACAGGCAGCTGTACCTATCCAATTCTATCAAGACATCCAAGAGGTCCTTTTCACTAACAAAAGTGAACATTTTTCCTAGACTTAAATGTAATCTATTCCTTATATTTTGATAGATGCACAAAGAGATTAAAACCTAAGAATTTTTATTTTTTCCATTTCCTCTTTCTACTCCTTCCCTTGTAGAACAGGAAAAACCAAGAGTTTCACATAATATACTTAAATACATATACAAGGAACAAGAATTCTTTATGTAGATATAGCTTTTCACTAGATTTATGAAAATGGCAGTCAAAAACCAAATGTGAATTTTCAAAAGGGGGAAAGGGGTAATCTTTTCATATAAGGGTCTTCCCCCCTTCAAAAGAAAATTCAGTCCTTCATGATGTAAAAAAGTATTAATGTGAGAGGTCTATACAATCATAATGGTTCTAACAAAAGAACATAGGAAAATGGCAAGGAATGACCATTTTTAAAATAATTCCTAATATAACTGAAAAAAATCTATAGATTTTCTCACAAATAAGATATGCTTTCAGTAAAAATGAAACATAGTTGCAAATGTAAATAAACCTGGAAGTATTTTCTATGAGAATGTTGAAGATCAACCCTAATAATTACTTTACTAATTATTTTGAGTTAAATGATGAAAGAAAGAAAGGAAGAAAGGAAGAAAGGAAGAAAGAAAGGAAGGAAGGAAGGAAGGAAGGAAGGAAGAAGGAAGGAAGAAAGAAAGAAGAAAGAAA